AGTGAATTGTGGTTAACCATGGTGTCCTGCTCAGACAATGTCTGTCACATGACGGACAAAAGCTCAGCAAGGATTCGCCGGGGCCGCAGAATGGTGTCTCGAGGACCTATTTGCACAAATGTACAACCACAGCTCCAGGGCAACCGCCCCACAGCCTCCGATGGAGCCAACTTACGAATTCCTTCCACTCGCCTCTTCAAACAAAATGAAAGGTACTCCAACATCAATCTATTGAGCAATTCTTCGAAACCCAGTTTTTCTATAAAAGCATGACAACCCGTCTAGTGACCACTTTGCCTAGCTTCAGCCACCATCTTTCCGTGATTTCTCGCTAAAACAACGGACTTGGCGGTGAACTTAAAGGAGACACTTGAAAGGGCCCACATGGTGGCCTACCTGAATGATGCGTTCGGCTCGCTCCCTGCTAGCCTCAATCTCCTCCTTCTGGGCCGACAGGCGTGTGTAGGCCAAGGTGACGCTCCTCTGAGCGACAGCTTGGCACTCCTTGAATACGGTCGTCTTCTCCTGAATCCAGTCTTCAACCTGCACGGATAGGAGTGGATATAAAACACATATACAACCGGGAATGAAAGAAAAGAGAGTCCCACAGGATTTTTCGTTTTGCAGTTAAATTTTTGAGACTACCAGTAAATCAAATGTATGAAATGCTTTCACCCTATTTCGTTCAAGATGATAAAGGACCGGTGGTTGAATTTTTCCACAATGATATGAATAGATCTTTAGTTTCCATTAACTTCAACATAGCCCTACATTTCATCCAAGATGGACGGCAGTTTTGACCTCGCCTAGGTCTCATTAGCACCCTTAGCGGCCTTCATTGAAATTCACATCGGCCCTGTGATCCAAGGGCACTCGTTGCGCTGCGGCGCAGTGGTTAACGTGTCGAGATTATGCGCGGCACTGCCATGGTTAGAGTCTTGCTGAGGGTGCTGATGAAACCAGCTTAGTCGAGATTGCAGCAGCAGTCCACTGCAGTCGGAACAAGAATACCTTTTGGGAAAGCAATGCTATGTGAAATTCAATGAAAACGTAAGGTCTACTCATATCATTGTG